TTAAAACACTAATACTTGCCTGTGTATTGGCATCAATTCTGAGTTGACACCTACCCTAACTGTACGATGAAGCTAAAAATTCTTAGGGTGTGTTGAATGGTCACTCCCTAATAAAAATTATTATAATATAATAAACTATTTATGTGTTAATTGATAAAACATTTTTTAACTAAAATCATCTTATATATTGTCTCTGAGGTTTACCCTTTTAGATATAAAATATAATAAAAATTACAAGAAAATTAGAGAAACTTCATATATTATTAATTATATAAGCAGTTTGAAATAAAAAAGAACCGGTCCCAATCCAATTACTAATTGGGACAAAACCAATTGACAGCCCTACCAGTCTACTGCACTAGGGGTGATCATGGGTTGGGCTGGGCTTTACACCTATAGTAAGGGCCATAGCCTAGGCCAGCCTAGTCGAGTTTTGGGTCTATGTCTTTTGTATATAAAATATTATAAATATATAGCATTTGTAATATTATAAAAACATATAAATTTATTCTATATAATATAGAATATAATATAGAACATCAAATACCAAAAAATATATATAATATAGAACATTGCATATAATATATATTAGAAGTTTCGTATTATAATATCTATATATAATATATAATATAACATAAAATAATACATATATATATATATATATATATATTTTATGTATAAAATATATATATTTAAATATATACGGGTCAGATGAGGCCCGAGCTGGGGTTCAAGTATTAGGCCCAGGCCAGGCCTGAATATAAAACCTAAGGCCAAAGAATTTTTGGGCTGGAATGATCACCCTCTACATTGACAATGCTGATGAGCTTGTGAGGACAAAAGGCCCATCAGACACCAACAAAAAAAAAAAAAAGTAAAAATAAAATAAAAGATGGAATATGGAGAGTACAGCTGAGAGAATCTTAAAGGCCCAAACAAATTACCACGTGGAAAATTAATGAACTATCCACGAAAATTAAGGAGATCAAATCAACCCCCATAAGACTGCCCCCACAGCGTCCTATACAATACACCTCCGCCTATATTGGGATAATAAAAAAAATGGTCATCGGGATATGTTCCCAATACACGGACGTTGTGGAGGGCTGATTTGATCTCAAAACTAAGCAGACCACCCGACTGAACTACGTGTAGCAGAGCTAATGAAAGGAAAACTGGTAAAGCTGACGTAGCAGAAATCAGGTTGCCCAGGAAACAAGGACAAGGACGAGGCATGCAGCATGCTGTTGGGCACTGTTCAGCAATGTCGCTTTCCGTAATCATACAAACCGCTCGCATGATTGCATTCCGCCCATGAGCCATGAAACGGACTAAACTGAATTGAATGACTTATTTCTATATTCACAATAAGTACATTCAGTTCAGCCACTTCAGTCAGCTGATCCTGCTGCCTTGCACGGACTAACAGCCCGCGTACCATTAGTCTTGTACGGTTATACAATGTAACGGACAAATATCTATCTGTCATGGACACATTTCTAACATGTAGAGGGAGTGTGGGGAAGTATGAATTAATGTTCGGATTAAATGTTTGGGCTCTACTTGATTGTGTTACAAACGTGAATGTGGGCGTTTGTTTGCCACGCAAAAATACAATGATTAAGAGGTTAAAAATGTGTTTTTTGACAGTTTTGCGCCACAAAGAGAGCGCATTAATATACTTATTTTTTAGATATATTATTGTACTTTTATAATAAGTGATGCGTTTAACGAAAAGTTTCAAGACATTTAATGATGGGCCCATGCTTTACACCGATTTCAACGAACAATAAGAATGTAAAAAATGGGTTACACTGAAACCCATTTTGTATTTTTGAACTGAAAAGAAGGTATCTATGAAAAATACATAATTGTGTTTGCATCACAACTGAAGACAGCCTTGTTTGCAATGGGATGCAAATTTTGCATTCCGTCCACTTTTTTATAATTAATAATTAGGGTTAATGGATTGGTTCTACTAACAGACCAATTATATTGGTACCGATTCTTGCTTGTTCTAAATCAATTATTTAGTTAATAATATATAAAGGTTTTTCAGATTTTTTTTGTAATTTTTTCTATTGTATATCTAAAGGGTAAATTTGTAGATAATATAGAGACACTTGATTTAATAACAGATAAATAATTTACTTTTTGCAACCACCATCCTCCCAAGGGTGTCAATGGACCAGTTTTGGATTGGATCCCGTCCAATCCAAAATCAATTAGGATGGATTGACGGACCAATAAGACATATTGGATTGGACCAATCTGGTCCAAAATATTTATTAGATTGGATTGGACCTGATCCCTCCGTAACAAATTTATATTGGATTGGGTTGGATTAAGCCAATATTTGGTCAATTGACATAAGATAAGAATATATGTGTCAATGGACCGGGTTTGGGTTGAAACCAACCTAAATCAAAATGAATTTGAATAGATTGGACGGTCTAGACTAGGGCTGCAAGTCGGGCCAGGTTAGGTCAGGTTGTGGCCAACCCTAGACCAACCCTAAGTTCTAAACCCCTAACCCAATCCAAACTTCAACCCGACCAACCCAACCCTATCTAAATTCCTTTAACCCTAACCCAACCCAACCCAACTCGAAGTCAATTTCGGGTTGGGTTGGGCTCAGGTTAGGCCCAACCCAACCTTCTTCCTATCCCTTAAAACCTCATAGAATTTCTCGATTTTATGACTTACGATAAATCTTTTATGGGTGGCAAACAACAAAGAGGAGATGAAGAATACAATTTTCAAAAAAGATAAAATAATGTTATTAAGGTTTTAGTCTTTCTGATTAGGATTAAGTGAAGTGATTATTTGAAAAGAAATACATGATACTATGTGGTGGGGGCTATACAAATATCATGCATCTAAACAAGTCATTGTATGTTATATATTACATATAACATATATTTATATATGACATGTACTATAGAGTCGGTTTTGGGTTGGGTCGGGCTGCATAAGGGGTCAACCCTAACCCAACCCGAAGTAAAATCGGGTTTATGAATTTTAACCATAACCCTAACTCGAACATCAACCCAACCTAACTTTTTCGGGTTGGGTTCGAGCCAATCCAACCCAAGTTGCAACCTTAGTCTAGACATTAAACTAGACTGGTCCAAATTGCTCCAAAACATCCATTGGATTGGATTGGACTGGTCCATTTATAATGGACTCACATTAGACTGGATCGATTGGACCAAATCCAATTCAATTGACACCCCTACATCTTCCAACCTTAATTCTCTCTCATATGAGGATCATATCTTCCTATCTTAGTCTAGATTTATTTCATGGTTCAAGGCTCACATAATCAATAAATATACTTAGTTTTAAGCTTTAAGTTGATTCAAATAAAACGGTGGTAAGAAACATCCTACCAAACAGAAATTTGTGTATAGTACTATTGATACGTTTGCTTAGTTGGCATAAATGCTACCGAACAAAATTCATGGCAGTTTTATTAATTAGAAAATAACAATAACACTAAGTTATTTTCTATTAATATGTATAAAAATCAATTGATAGCATTTTTGTTTTATAAGAAAACGGTGGTAAGAAACACCCTAGCAAACAGAAATTTGTGTATAGTATTGCTTACATTTGCTTAGGTGGCATAAATGCTACCAAACAAAATTCATGGCCGTTTTCTTAGAAAATGACAATAATACTAAGTTGTTTTCTATAAAAATGGCAATTCAGCAATGTAGAAACTATAATGGTACCAAATACCACCCAAATGCCATAAAATAATAAATAATAAGCATAAGTAATCTATTAAATATATAAGCTCCATTTGAAAGGAGTACAAATACAAATATGTAGAGTGCAAATATATTATTTTGTATGCATTTCTATTATACATATTTGTATTTGTGTAAAAATCAATTGATATATTATTTATACATGTGAATCATTAATTTGCTTGCTGTTAAAAAAATTAAATAACTAATGAATAACACATTGAATTATGGAATTGACAAAGAAGTCAACTTAATCATAATATATCAGCTAATGGTTATATAGCTGTTTTACAAATTACTAAACGCATTAAACCATTAATATGTTTTCTTGTTTCAAAATTGAATCATTAATTAACAATTAATGCAATATATGTGGAATCTTAATCCAAAAATTATATCAGATCCATGGAAATGTTAGAAGATCCTAGACACTAATTATGTGCAATCTTCTCAACAAAATAATTCATATTCATAAATTTCAATTACTAAAATAACTATTCTGTGTTCATTAATTTTCATTTATATGAACTATCAAAAATTTGAAAAATCATTTTTGGCATAAATTGTCAATCCATCTTATAGTTCTTCCCTATCATTATAACTATTTAAGACAAAAAAATTAATTTAATTTTCAGTTATCTTCATTTTTTTTTAAATCCATATATCTACTAATATAAAACATAAAAATTCAAGAAGACTACTCTTTCCGCTACTAAATGTGGGCCCAAACAAATCCACAAAAGGACTGTTGTTAGGTCAAGTGTTTTTCCGCCCACAGGGTCACAAAGCCCATGGTCGGATTCATCTCTCATAAAGAATTAAAGGTGTAAAATGGGCAGCGCTGGGCCGTGTTATTCCACGGACCATGTCCCCCTCCCCTGAGATATTTTGGGGGTTGACCTGATACGGTTCAAAGGCTGAGCTGATCCACCAGCTGAGTCATAGACCAAGTTGGACCATGGACCAAACCAAAACTATATATATAGCCTGCGGACCTAAAACCCTAAACCCGGCACAGCCAAAAAATCGTGCCGGGCCACCTGATTTACACCTCTACGAATAATTGGATCAACCAGTAGCCGATTCCCTCAGGATCGAGAGGCCCTTTTTAGTTTTTTTTACCAATTTTCCCCCAAAATTGCACGACACAATGATCCATTTGATGCCAGAGTCCGTCCACCACACGAACACCTTTCTCGCCTCTCAATTTTCGAAACGGAAAAGAAAAAGCAGACAAGGGCATTCTAAGAAATTCGGACAAAAGCCAAGGTCATTATTGTCACACAGAAAGTACACGTAGAAGCGTGACACAATGCAGACAAAAAAGAAGCTCCGAAAGTGACACGTAAAGCATACCAACCACGTGATCCTTCGTTCAAGGATGACCGAAAACGACTCCTCCGGTCCTCCCTCTAAATTCTTTCTCCCTCTTTCTCTCTCTAAAAATAGTCAAACCAGTCAAAGAATCAAACTGAAAATCAACTAACACATAACATCATCTTGGCCTTCGCTTTCAAGTTTCAAACACCTTGTTTCATACAAATAAACCTGAGCTGAGCTTCTTCCCCTCTGTACGTTCTGTCCTTTGGTGGGGTAAGACACACGGAATCATCTTTCCCACTCTCCACCCTGCATGTCCTATACAACGCCGCAGTGCGCAAGACGCACCCCCCAAACTTAAAATTTCTATTTACACCCTATAATCTTTCACGATTCTCATTTTCTCTCCTCTATAAAATAATTCAAAAAACAAAGAAGAAAAATAGGAGAAGCTTAATCATCTTGGACCAGAAAGCTCCATGGCATAGACGTCCAGAGAATGCTCATCATCATCATCCATGATGGCTGCTAACATGCTTGCATGGTCATCATCATCATGTCTTGACATGATCGGATGTGCTGCAGCTGCAGTACAAGCTATGCTACTGCTGTTATGATGATTGTTGGAGTTATGATGGTGGTGATGGGCTTGTGAGGCCTCCCACTTCTCGGCCAGCCCATCACCTTCCAGCATTCGGACCACCTCGGACATCTTGGGCCGGTGGGCAGGGAGGTATTGAGTGCAGAGGAGAGCCACCTGCACCATCTCCCCCACCTCTATTCTGTCGTAGTTGCTCCCCAAATCCTTATCCACCAGCATCTCTACTCTCTTCTCCTGCTGAATCTTCTTCACCTGCCATTAATGGACGGTTCAGATCATTCCCAGGGTGGGTCCAGTTGTTTTGGGTCATGGGCCAAAATGGTCCCATCAAGGGTAGAGAAAAAGAAAGAGATCTTACCCAATCAAGCATTGCTCCTTTCTGATTAACGGCTTTACCGAACTCGAGCGCTCTCATGCCGGTGATGAGTTCCAGCAACAGAATTCCGAACCCGAACACGTCGGTCTTCTCCGATGACTGCCCCGTCGACAAGTACTCCGGCGCTATGTGGCCGACGGTTCCACGGACGGCGGTGGTCACGTGAGAGTCGGCATGGTCGAGAAGCTTGGCCAGACCAAAATCACCAACCACGGCCTCACAGTAGTCGTCCAGGAGCACGTTAGCAGCCTTTACGTCTCTGTGAATAATCTTGGGGTCGCACTGCTCGTGCAGATAAAGAAGACCCCTCGCTGCTCCAACGGCTATTCTCTTCCTAGTGTTCCAGTCCAGAGCAGGCTTACCTGTAAACACATCAGACGGGGGAGCTCACTATAATGCGCTGTAGGAGAAGTGGCGCACAATAGTAACGGGTACGAACTACAGAGAACGGACTACAGATGCAGAATTGCAGACCTCTGAGCCTGGCAGCGACACTGCCGTTTGACATGTAAGGGTAGACGAGGAGTCTCTCGTTGGAGGTGGCGCAGTAACCGAGCAGCCTCAGCAAGTTCCGGTGCACCGCCAGGCTTATCATCTCGACCTCCGTCTTGAATTGCAGCTCTCCGGCGGTTCCGCTCACGTCCTTGAGCCGCTTCACGGCCACCACCGTCCCATCTGTCAACCTTCCCTTGTAAACGTTGCCAAACCCTCCTTTGCCCAGTATGTTTTTCGGGCTGAAATTGTCTGTAGCTAATTGGAGCTCCCTCAATGTGAACTGTCTGAGGTTGCCTAGGCGTATCAGACCTTCCTCTTGCTTGTCTGTATCAGACCCAGATCGATTAAAGGATGGTATTAATGAGAATTTTGTGGGTTCTAGTTTTTTAATCAAAGATTGGTAATGAGTTTTGATTTGCTGACCATTTATGTTCAGTACGGTCTGTCTCTTCTGGTTCTTCCTCCACCAGATGAAGAGGGCAAGTGCAATCACGAGAAAAGATATTGAACCGATGCTAGCCCCGATTGCAACAGCTAGTTTCTGAGCTTTGCTTTTGCCTGAAAAATGTGAAAATGCAAGAGCTGAGATTTCTAAGAATACCCAGAGAGAGAGAGAGAGAGAGAGAGAGAGAGAGAGGAGGGTTTGAGAGAGATACTCTTTGATGAACCGGTGGATGGATCAATGGAGAATGAGAGTGGAATAGGAATAGGTGTTCCAGAGCAGCCTTCGGCACTGGGGCTTCCGCACATGAGAGGGTTTCCCACAACACTAGAAGAAGAAACAATGAGTAACAAGAAGCATAAGAGAAATTAAACTAGACAGAAGAAAAGAACAGTAAAGAGTTGCAGAGAAGCCTTACTTGAATGTTCTGGTGGGAAACTTGGGGACAGGACCTCTGAGGTTGTTAAAAGACAAGTCTCTGAGCAAAACACAAAACGAGAAAAGAAGAGAAGACAACCCCTTACTTGAGTTTGTTCAAAAGAAGCAATTTTCTTGTACAGAACGCAATCAGAAACTGTGCAGGTTTGAAGAAAGAGAATTAATTCTCACAAGAAAGTAAGCTGAGGGATTTTGGCCAAGGACACTGGGAATGCTCCGGATAAGCTGTTATTATTCAGCCTCCTACACGATTAAATACAAGGAAACAAAGAAGACAAGAAGTAAGAGATTAGATGCAGAGGACTAATAAGAAAGAAGCATGGATTCAACAAAGAAAGAGATGAATAGCTCTTTGTGTTTATTCAAAAGGCTCACAGGTATAGCAAACTGCTGAGTTGACCCAGAGACATGGGAATGTTGCCAGAGAACCGGTTATTGGATAGATCCAACGTCTGAAGCTTGGGAAGGTTTCCGAGTTCCATCGGAATTTCTCCAGAAATGTTATTGTTCTGCAATAACCTGCAAATTTCAACCCAAATAAGAAAATAATAAATGCAGAATAAAAACCCAGATGGGTCTTTGAAAATTTCAATCGAACAGATGCTTTCTATATTCTCTTATCTTACAATTGTCGAAGATTTGTGAGGTTCCCAATTCTTCCAGACAGAGTTCCTGATAAACTCAGGCTTGGAACTCCCCTGCAATACCCATGAACTTGAGAAGCTACTTTTCTTTCTCTTCTCCAAAAAGTCTAAATATAAGAGGAGAAGTTGATATTAGAACTTACAGGCCAATAACGAGGTTTTCTGGGGAACAAGTAATCATAGCCCAACTACAAGGATCGACCGAGTCTTCATCCCAGTTGTTCAGAACTCCATGGGGATCGTTCAGAGACCTTCTGATACTGATCAGAGCTTCCACTGATAAAAATGTGATAAATAAATAAATAAACAATATAAGCAAAGAAATTAAGTGGGCTGGACTAAAACTTACCTTCATGGTTTCGAGGTTCATAAGACAAAGAGAGGCTTGCAGAGGAAAGAATGAAGATGAGAACGATGAGCTTGAAATCCATGGATGTTGCAGCTGAGGACTTGAGAACATCTTTTACCGAAACCATGCTCTTTATCTCTCGCTACTCTGCTTTGTGTCTATAAACTCTCTTTGTAAAGAAACATAAAAAATGAGAGAGGGAGAGAGAAAGAGAGAGGAAATCAGGCATATGATACGAGCTGTCAGAAGAGCGCAGAATTTGAGAGGTACTGAAGTGGCTACTGTACTCACTGAACCAACATGCCCCCCTTACTCATTCCACGGTTAGGGGGGAGAGGTATGGAAAAGAAAGAAAAAGAGTTTCCTTTTTCTTATTCTTTTAATTTTTTTTTTATTATTTGTCTTCTTATACTTTATTATTTTTCAATTTGAACATTCAAACCAAAAAGAGAAAGACTAGCAGAGAGATAATGACCCTGTTTGGATAAGCTTTTGCCTTTTAGCTTTATGTGGAAAACAAAATTGAGGCAAAAAAAGAATTTGAACAATGGGGTAAGAATTGCTTTTAAAAAACATTATAATCTGAAGCCAAAACACTTCAGAGAGCCAAATTACAGAGCCTAAAATCACGACTTTGTGCTTTTGGGCTTTAAAGCACAAATCCAGAAGCTTATCCCAAGTGATTAATTAATTCTTTCTCTCAAAGGAACTTGTGTTGGATGTTCTGATAACTTAGTGGTGATGGTGATGAAAACTCAGGTCATTAATACAAGCACGGTAGAAATAATTTTGAAGAGAGAATTTGAGAAAGAAAGAATTGATAACAAAGAGAGAAATTCCAATCTAAACATAGTGTCAGAAATTCCAATGTTTAGAGCTATCACTTTGGATCTTTGGGCTTCCTACATTGCCTTCTGTTATTATATTGCAGCCCAGATTTTAAGGCTGTTGTGGCTGTTTGATAACAGATGAAGGGGCTGAACTGAATGTTTTATTGCTTTGTTTTTTAGTGAGCAATAAGTCATTCAGTTTACCCACTTCAGCTATTGTCCCTATGTCTCCATTCTCCCAATACTTACTTTTTCTCCACCTACAAACAGGGAGGGAACACCCTTTATCTCTGTCATATGACCAAACAGAAGCATGACTTCATATCTACAGATATATGAACAACAAAGAGTTCCAATGTTGTACATGAGATGTCAAAGTAAAACATCAATGAGATAAAAACAAAGATGAATGCTCTGAAGTTGGAGACATGTCTGATGACTAGACAATATTCATGATGACATAGCTGGATTTTTTTAATATATATGACATGTCAAAATAAAACTTTAATGAGATAAAAAAAAGATGAATAATCTAAAATTGGAGAGGGAACAAATTTTCAACCATGCTAAAGCTGGAGAGAAGCTCTAAATTAGTTCTCGATGCTAGATAATAATAAAATACAAAGAAGGAAAAGATAACTGAGTATTACAAATTAAATAATGGACATGCCTATTTGAAGGTCACATAAAATGAAATCACTTCATTGTGGGGGTGTTTGCCAATGTGAATGATTTTATTTTTTAGACCAGAAACAACTTCCACATTGTATTGCTTTTGCTGACATGGCAATTGTTGTTATTTAAAAAAAAAACAGAAACCATTCGTATTTGCAAACAACCCCTTTAATTTTGTGTAGCATCTTGAGTTTTTATTACATGAAATGGATTAATATGTTATTAACAAAGAGGGAAAAATGTATGAATTTTTATTTTTTAATTTTTTGTTTCATTAGCCATTGGCAATGAATACAACCGATGTGTCATATAGTTGGGGGCAAGGTTTAGAGATGATGATAGATGATATTGTTCATCAAAAATGAAGAATGAACCCATTTTGACGGTGAACTTGTGGACTGGAATGAAGAGACAAACATACAGTTAATCAGATCATTTTCATTTTATATGATATCTAGATCAGGCTATTAATAAGCAGTTATAGCTAGTTCGTGATTAGATAATGAAATAAATACCCTGATAAATGCTGATCAATTACCCCTATTGAAGGCTTTCACAGACATAAAACACAAACAAATTTTCATGAGCATCTGCCCACATTTACAAATTGGTTTTTCCAATTTGAAATAATATAAGCTAGAGATCATGATTAGGGGTCATTATTTGGTTCAAGAAAGGTTTTAAAAACCGGATTGGACAGGGAATCATTTTGGGGACCAGTTCTCGGGTTGAACGGTCCGACCATCCAGTCTGAATGGACGGTTCATTCTGACAAAAAACAAAAAAACGGCCAAAAACCGTTGTCCGTGTCGATGGTTTGACTGCCTGGGTCAGCAGTTTCCTAATCAAATCAATGGTTTTTGGCCAAAAATCAGTTTTGGGAGTGAAAATGGAACTGGTCAAATGACTGATTTCCGTTTTTTTCCAATCTAACCATTCGGTCTGGTCCGATTTTGAAAACACTAGGTTCAAGTCTGAAAACAGTCACTTTGTGTTAGAAAAAAAAAAAAAAACAAAAAACAAAAATTAGGACCCCTTCCTAAACCTAGATAACTGAGACCAACATTGGGTAATGATCTTTCTTATATTCTAGAGATGACCACTTGCATACATTTACTCTTGTGTGTTTTCACTTTTCACAGGATCTTAATTAGTGTAGTAAATTCATGTATCATTTCTATTAATTTTGGGTGCCATAAGCTAGGTCTTTGGAATTTCCTATACTGGGTTGAGCTATTATCTTGGAAGTTTGGAACTTCTGATTCTAAAATTGGTTTTAACCGTAATAGACCTTATGAGTAGTTACTCTCCAAATGCCACATCGATAAGGTTTGTGGTGTTGCTTGAGTTTTCCATTTCTCTCCAATTCTGTGAAAAAAGAATGATTAGACGGTGCATACGATAACGAAATATAATCACATTGAGAACAATAAAACTTCATTGAGAAGAGATGTTGGATGATTAATCCAAAGTGGAAACACCATAAAGTTCCATGTAACATTAAAATATAGATCAACCAACTAAAGTTGGAGACCGGAGAGGACCTATAAATTGGTAGCTATGCCTAATTATGCTAAGTTTGGTATAAATGGAATAAAAAAGGGAGGTTATATCAAATGTTCTATTTGGGTTTGGCAATATGCAAAGTATCAATACCCATGACACACAAAAATTGCGTATGGAACAATTCAAAGAGTTATTATTATAAACTATAACACCATGGTTGATAAATAATTATAAATTATAATGTGTAATTGAATATAAAACCATGTTTGTCCTAGTTCATCAATTTTCTTTATCAGACACATGCATATAAATATATGCTTCCACACTTCAGAAGAGCTTAGTAATAAAATATTTTCTTCTTGAAAGAAAACCAACTTATTTTTCACTACAAGAAATTTCGTATTAGCCGGACCGCCGGAAAAACCTTCTTTTTTGTAGTGTTTGCTTTTCAAAACATGTGTTTCAATTATTATTATTATTATTTTTACAAATGTGATAATTTGGAAAACAAAAACATTATCATGTTGTAGAACACCCCTTAAATTATCTGTTGTTACTTCAAAATATGTCCCTTTTGGTAGGTCTGCCTCCAAATTATTTTTATTATTTTAATTTTTTTTTTCATTTGAGGAAGTTAAGTGCTTGAACCGAATGGTTGGACCGGCCCATGACCTAACAACTAAATCGGTTTTGATGAGGGTGGATTTGGCCCTCTAGTGAAATTGTGACACCTGTCACCTCATGCAAACCAAGTGCAGCCTCTTGATGACTGGGCAGCTCGGGCAGCTCGACATAGGCAGCTCGGTACAGTTCGGGTAGCTCGGCATAGGCAGCTGGCCACTTCGCAGGCAGCCTGGCGTCTTACGAAGAGCTCGACACTTAGGGGCAGCTCGGCGTATCGCAGGAAGATCTCCTGCCTGACAGATCCGGAGACCTGCGCCCACGTCTCTCGCTAGGCGGCGTCGTGCCTGCCAATCCTGAGAGTTGGTCCTTGATTGGCAGAGCCATACTCCGTAGCAGCCGCCTGCACCTGCCACCTCAGCTCTGAGAGTAACGGCTGCGGCAGAGAGACAGAGGCGGTTACACCTGACTTGACAGAGGCTGTTACGCCTGATTTGACAGGACACCACTATATAAGGACTTCGACCCCCAAAGACAGGGAGCTCCACCATCCCCTGAGTTACAGGCCGCCTAGGAGAGAATGAAAAAATGGAGGTAATCCTTACTCTCTAGCTCTCTCATTTCTCTCCAAGCTCCCTACAATCAGAATGCTAACTTAGGCATCGGAGAGTCCCCGCCGGGAAAATACCCCCGGGTCCTCTGATTCAGTTCTTGCAGGCCCCTCAGCTCCCGCTGCCTACAAAGGAGAGGAGATCACCTCATGCAGAGGGTAGTCGGGTTGCGCTACACCAGGGAGCTCCACCATCCCCTGAGTTACAGGCCGCCTAGGAGTAGGTCAAATGACGAGTCCACCAAGGTAGTTCACCATCAGGGAGCTCGTCACCAAGTAGCTCTCCAGCAGGGAGCTCGTCACCAGGTAGCTCTCCACCAGGGAGCTCGTCACCAGGTAGCTCACCACCAGGGAGTTCACCATCAAGTAGCTCATCACCAGGTAGTTTGCCACTAGGGAGCTCCACCATCCTCTGAGTCACAGGCCACCTGGGAGCAGGTCAAGTGACGAGGTACTTAGCCAAAAAATTGGTACATCTGAAAAAATTGGTACGTGACCAGAAACGGTTACATCAGGTTTTATGTCTGATCCTAGTCTGACGACACTACTATTTTAGACCCCTTTCTTGCCAATTTATTATCAGCCATATTTAAGGCAATTAAAACACAAAGAACATGTTCCATTATTTGAAGAATATGCAGATATTTTATTATCTTTGAAACAATTTGGAGATTTAACTTGAAAACAATAAGGAATCAGAAGTAAGATGATCCTTTTTTTGGCAAAGAAACAGTACAGGACACTGATTAAAGGTAAGCAGAATTTATTCTTCTTCATCATATTGACAAAGATATTAGCCTTATAAATTCATGTAGATTCAACTACAAGGTTGTGGTGATATGGAAGAATGAGAGAATTTTTGCTGATTAAAGCTAAAGGAATAGTAAAATTTGCATTCCGAAAATGGATGTAAAGTTTGTACTTTGGAAGGAGTATAAATACAAATATATAGAGTGCAAAACCTTACATTTTGTATATATTTGTATTATACATATTTGTATTTATACTCCTTCCAAACTGAGCCTTTATTTTATTGACAATACACTGAAAACT